AGCTTCTACTTTACCCGTATTGTGATTTTTAAAGTTATCTGAAATGTAAAATCGATAAGACAGGTTTCGTTTAAATATACTATAAGCTCCACTGTTGAGTTTTTAATTTTGGAAATTCTTATCAGAAGTTGGTGTTTCCTTGATGCTCACAGAACACTTTCTTTTGGTAGTTATTTCTTTTTGACTGAAATGATGTAAAAATACAGGTCACACTGAGAATGACAGTGGATGCAATAATTAGTTGTGGCGAGTTACTGGTATATGGGTTGCACTGACGTTTCAGTGATTCACTTGCTTCTTAAAAACATGTAAGTTAATGGCAATTTACACAACATTAGATTTAAGAGATTTGCAGAAATATGGGATTGACTAATTCATTTAAGTGGCTTCTGTTTTCCTTACAACTAAGTGAAATTGACAGACGTGCACAGATTCAGTTTTGGTAATTTACCTATATGGTTGTCGAAAATAGCTTACACTTAAACGCTACAAGTTTTTGAACGTTACACGAGTTTGGGGAAAACAATGGATACTTCTTATAGTATCCTAAAAGTGAAATCGAATTAAAGTGCCTTCACTATTGTGCATGTACATCGAATTATTATCTACCTGAAATTATATTACTGATTGAATAAGTATTTAATAGGGTAAGAGTAAAATTCGGAGAATGTAGGGGTGAAATTCTTCCCTTCAACCGTGTGCTTTCAATTTGTAAATGCCGTATGAATTCCCAAATAGCGGACATGTTTTCCTATCGGATCACATCTGTAAATTTTCTTGTTGTTCAGGTTTCATGTTTATTTTCACGATAATGAAAAACAAATTCATGGTATTTGAAAGAATTATTTATGGTTACATTTAACTAACCGTTATAACTTTCTTGTATCTGTATTTACCTTTCAACATTTATACAACATTCCCGGATAGATATACAGTAATTATTTACACTTTTAATCATCTGAAGCTTGTTTTACACTTTATGTCAGGTATCATGTGTTCGTACCACGTGCTTTTAACTTTGATATTCAGGACATATTCTCCTGTGCAATGATCATATGAGAAACATTTAGCAATATGAAATAAGATGGCCTCATATTTTATTGTATACTTTCTTACAGAACACATTCATTATTAGTGCGGAAGTAATGATAAGTAGTAGTAGATAAATTATTTATCCAGTGACCTTTCGTTTTTATTACTCTATTCGCTTTAAATTTTATTGCCTTTAAATAATAATTCTTTATCGGTTTGAACTTTTGAGTACACAATAATGCTGCTTTTTGTGGACATAAGTACAGAATAAATATTTATAGGAAATACTGAAACAAAATAAACTTATTTCGTGGATTCTCTTTGACGGTGTATATCCTAAGCAAAATCAAATTATGAGTTATGATGATTGTTTTGTTATGCTGCCTAAGACTCCATTCAATTTTGATTTTCACTTACTGAGTTGAACTCACTATTAAGTTTCCTAATTGACTTAATTGTTTTTTTATGTCATAATTTTACCCCCACCCTCTTGAATTCATTATTATCATTATTATTTCCTTTAGTTCCTATAGGAACATAGGGCTTCAGCCGCACATATTCACTGCATTCGGTTCTCCGCCAACGTTTTCACCTGGCTTCGCGTCTGCCCACATGCTTCCATCTCGTCTTCACGTGACCTCCTCCATGTCACCCTTGGACCACGAACTCGCCGCTTCCCATTTGGGTTCCACTCTAGGGCCTGTCTTGTGATGTTACTTGATGGTGAATTCATCATAGTATGTATAAATTAACTCTGTTGGTCGATCTCGTATTTTGTATCTAGTTAATCCTTGTCTCCAAGTGGAACTTGAAATTAATGATAGCATAAATAATTAGTCATTTTTGAAATTATGTTGCTTCTACTTTCTATCTTTAACTCGAAGTTATTGTGATAAGTGAATATTCAGAAATTTTGTAACTTTTAATTTGATTTCGTTTAAGATATATGCAGTTAAAGAGAATCCAATCAATGAAAGGATCTCGTATTATCCTGTAAATATGTCCGTTTTCTCTTTATTCAAACTAGTAAGAGGGGCCAACGTATAAAATAACTTTTTAAATTTATCTTATACATCCCATGGTTTGAACGTATTAAGTGTTGATGGGCATTTATTCTTATTTCCAATATAATGTAAGGTGGAATGCATTTCTGATACACTTCTGAAGTTTTAAGTCTATAGGTCATGTGTCTGCGTGTGTGGAGTTGTTTATGAAGGTGTGATATTAATTCTGTATCCACTTATTTATCAAAGTTTCTTTGACTCAGAAATGTTTCATTATGTTCTCCTGACATTAAACATTTGGTACTCTTGGTAGTCAGCTTTAAAGATAAGAATAAAAACCATCCCCTAGGGTAATAAAAAAACAAGTAGAGTGATTTCATCAATTTTTCTCAATTTAAATGGATTCCAGAATCAAGAAAACCATAAGTATTAAGAACCTTTAGAACACTATAGTTAATGCATTTCATTTTGAAACGTTTGGATCTATTACACTGACCCCAAATAACTCACTGGTGATATTCCTGACGACAGCACTGTTTGGCTCTGGTTCGAATCTTCCAGAGTAGGTTCAGCAGTACCTTCGAGATAGCAGGTACGCCTTTCTGACGGGTGCTAGCAGTCACAGAACCGCAGTCCAGAGTTTCCCTCCGATCCCCTACAACTACTGGAAATGCTGACTTGTATGAAGATTAGTTATTCAATTTGATTTTTATGTCATTATTAGTGTTATAGCCAAGCATTCTCATTAACTAAGATAAATTTATTTAGTTATGAAGATGATATTTAGCCTTGCCTTTCTTTACTTAACAAACTAATATAATCAGAATGATTGACAAACTGGCCATCATTTAATAAGTGCAATGCACTTTGCTGTATTGTTTGTTTTGGTTAGTAAAATATTTAAGCACTTGACCTACTATTTCATTGTGTATTATGATGTGTGTATTATATGCCAGCCATTAGTAGTGTACACTGTTGTGTGTATCAGAAAGTAATTATCAATGATTTATTACTTTAGGAAAACCATATTAAGCAAATATTTATTTAAATGTTGTTATTTAATAGTGTAAGCTAGGTTCACCATACGGCCTTAGTACTACATGTATTCAGCTCAAAGAATCATATGACCTCAGAAACAACATTTCATCTGCCTAATTAATGAAAATGGGTGCCATAATTTTTGACATTTAGCATTGTGTATCCGGTTTATTAGCTCTTGTATAGATGAGAAATTTGGCTGTTTAACTAAGATTATTCTCCACAAACATTCAGAGAAATTATGACCGGTGGATGCAAAGAAGTACTGGCTGGTTCACCAAAACTATGACTAATTTAGAATTATCAAAACTTGGCTGAATGTGATTACAAACTGGCTATTAGAAACAATTTGTAAATGAGAAATTTTTACGAAATACGGTACATTTTTTTTCTGTATACTGAAACCGTCCAAGAATAGGAGCTAAACTTAGCATACATCGAAGTTTTTCTAAAACATACGTTTTTGCTGCAGTATTAACTGTTACCTTTAAAGTTAAACGCCAGAGGACAGCTTTTTAATATCTTAGCGATTTCTTTCTTGTCATTACGCGTCTCTTGATTTCGAAGAATAAGAATTTCAGCATAGATATCTTTTCGGCGATTTCATTTTCAAAGGCTGTACAATCGCATTTAAATACATAATTTTACATGGAGACAGTTCTTGTTTGATTCTACATAATTATGACGGCGAATAAAAGGTGATAATTATTTCCAACTAGATGTGGTTTTTTTGACGAGAGGCTTAGAAACAAAATTACTCAGGATTAGAACGGATATCAAGTGTGTAAAAATGAGCATGGATACAAAATTGAAATAATAATTTTCAACTTGAGATGGGAATCAGGAGGTGTGAATATAGATTACAAGAGCCTTAGAAACACAAACAAAATGCACAGGATTAAGATATAATTGTAAATTTTTTAAAATGGATTATAAATGTGAACAGGAAAAGCATGGAAACAAACTTAAAATAACTGGTTTTATAACTGGAAAAAAAAATGGGGTGAATCGAATGAAGACTGAGGGAGTAAGAATCACACACATTGCGAACGAAAAGGGATCAAAAATCAAAAAACAAAAAAACAAAAACGGAAGCTACGGTAACATACCTAACTAAGTCCATGGTAGTTGTAGAGGTTGGAATAATTTCTTCTGGACACACAGCTCCGGCTTCTCGACGCATATTGCGAGGGCTTCTGCAGTACAGAGAAGTCGGAAACAAACTGCTTTCGGTAGGTTTCCGTTGACTTTGTAAATTACTTTGAATGAATCAGTTGAGATGTTGTGGGAGGTATTGATCAGATGCTCAATAATGGCACTTCTGATTGAACCGGTGCCTCATCTTTGCAGCCACGCTGGGTAATGTTCTCTAACACGTTTTGAAAGGACGCGCATACAACGACCTATGTACCCTACTCCGCACGAGCAAGCGAACTGGTAAATGCACATTGAGTTGGTCATATGCGACAGTCTGTCCTTCCCATTGCTCCGAAGAAGTGGGCGGCTAGAGAATGTCAATCTTAGAGTTGCTGCTGATTTCATCTTATGTAGAAACAGAATACTGTACTGTACAATACTACATTTTTCAGTCTCACATGAAGAAAGTGTGTATTTTGAATATTTATTTGAAAAATGTTCGAAGGTAAGTAAGTAATGAGGTATAAAATCCAACTGACGGCTTTGGTCATAATGGATTTTTTGACGTCTATATTTGAATGGAAACCTGTAAGCTTTAGAAACTGATGGTTTCGCATAAACCAGGCTACTAATAAATGTAGTGAATAGCCTTGGGGATAGCTACTTTCCAATTGGGTTGATTTTGTTTTCGTCTTAAAATGTGAGGGAACAGTGTTTACGCAATTAGAAAGAAAGCCATAAGAAGAAAATTGTATATTTAATTGAAAAAAACTGTCTATCTGATTTTACCTTTACATCATCTTTGAACAGTGTGAAGAGATTTCGTGTGGAAGCATTCTTTTGTCTTCTTTTCCAGGGGAAAATCGTTGATAGGTAATCCATTGAGAATTGGGCAGAAAAAGGAAACAAAATTAACATAAAAGCGTCTTATATCTCTCAAGTTAGATTATAGTAGTTTAAAATGAGAGATTTTAAGGAGTAGGCTGAAACATAAACAAAAGACGATAGCCTATTAAAGCAGAAAACTGGTTGTATAATCAGCACCAGAGGTTGGTCGTACACATATTAATCAAAGAAGTAAGACAGAAGAAAATTTCTCATCTCGAATATTCTTTGATCTTTGGGAAAAAACTCGCTTATAGTAAAAGCTTATTCCACACTATTTTGGGGGGAGGTATGACAGCTACACTGAAGTCAAAAGTTCTGTCAAGGAAACCTGTGAATAAGCGAAAAAAGTACTACCATATATTTCTACAACTGTCAGGCAAACACTTATGAGTAAAACATATTTATTTTTGGTCATGAGATATATAAACTAAATGGGTGGTGAAAAACTCTTGTACTGAAATCATACTCTGAGTTCACTTTCTTAACCCCATATTTCATGGTACAAATAGTTATGGCATTGAGTTTCGCTGTTATTAAAATCCTATGTGCAGCCAGTGCGATGACATTTTACGGGTTACTTATGTTCCTGAAATTCTGCAGTTACGTATTTATCATGATTGTATAATTGGTTTGTGTAGCTCTACACTAGTCCACCTAGTTCAGACAAATAGTATGGATAAAATATACCAGTCATTTTCAATAATAAAAATGTATTTCAGTTCTCCAGAAGTGAATTAACTTTGAATACGTCCAGAAGAAGTGCTTAGACTATTTCTTAGCCTTCTTCGGAATAATAAAAGTCCTGTGTGCTCTTTAGATTAAGTCTTAATTTTCTTCTATAGCCTAATACATATCTTCAGAGACTAAATTTTTCTAAATTATTTCCTCATATTTGATTTTGTGCTGAAATGTATTTAAAAATTATTTAGAATTAGTATCTTATTCTAGTTTTTCTACATATACATAAAAAAACGAAGACCAAAATATCTCTTACGTTGTTGAGTTAATCCTGTCTGACCTTATTTTATTTCGAGGATTGTTGACGCGGGGTTAACCTCGCCCAGAATACTTACCAGAGAGTTTCCTAGCCAATCCCAAGATCAGGAGAAGGGGGAAGGCTGGGCGTGGTGCTAGCGTCCCTAACCCGAAAAAATCAGTCAAACTGCTACACAAACTTCAACGTACAAGGATATTAAAAATAGAAAAAAAATAAACAAACTTATTTTTCACTGCTATCGGAGAGGCGAAATGACGAGGGCTGGTGTGAGTCGTCGGGAAGTTAGTCAGCCGATTTGTCCTTTATCGGTGCACGCAAAAACAAGCATAGGGACGCACAATGTTAGTACAGTGTACGAAGCTGGAAAGACTGCCCATGTTACCGAAGAAATTAGAAGATATGGTACAGAAGTGCTAAAAATCTGCTGGCACAGGCAGAATGGATATGCACTATCGAAATTGTCGACTGTAGAGTCAGTAATCTACTGCGGTCTGGTCAATCAAACAACAACCACGAGCACACTGAGGGAGTGAGTGGCTGTCATGATGTCACCAGTAGCAGGCGAAACACTTATGCAGTGGGAACCAATCTTCTCCTTCAGGAATATAACACCAAGATTCAACTAAAAAGGAAAGAGCAAAGATCACAATCCTATAATGCTACTCGTGAGGCTACGAAAAACTTGGAAGAAAAGAAGAAATAAGATTTGCATAGATACCTGCAGGCACTAGTGGACAATTTCCCAAATGGCTACATCAGAATCCTTATGGGCGATATCAATCAAAGCCAAACTGGGAGCAGACAATACAGGAAGAGAACTCATCAAGAATCAAGAGGCTATTGTTCGGCGAAATGAATGAGAACAGACAACCCTTCAACGTCTTATACACATTCAATGATTTGGCGACTGGAGGTAACGTGTCCAAGCACAACGACTTAGACAAGGCCAGAAACATAGATTTTGCCTGACACACACACAAAAAACCAGATAGACTTCATCTCAATGCAGCTCAAGGAAGTGGAGATGCAGCCTGCTGGAAACAAAGTTGAGAAGGGGAGCGGATTTGGACTCAGATATTCATCTAGTTCAAGGAAACGTTATGCTCAAGATGAAATCCTTCAAAACAACTGGAGATAGACAACAGTTCAAGGTCAGCACTGAGAAAATGAAGGACAAAACTACAAGGGATACCTTCACTGCAGATCAGATGAGAGCAAAATCGGAGACACTACGTGAAATCACTAAGGGAATCTGAGTGGAAGAACACTGGAACTAACTCACTGAAGGTGATGTTGAAGGAAACTTGTAAAGCTGTATCAGGAAGAAAGAAGAGGCGAGATAAGGAATGGCTCTTAAAGGATATTCTAACAAAAGCGAAAATACTGAATCCAATCGGTATACTGAACGACAGCCAGGAAGGCAGGAGGCGCGGACAGAATTCCGCACTCTAGAGCATTAAGCACCGCAAACGGAGTCAGAGATTGCAGGATATGCGCTGACACCATTATTGCAAAAGGTTAAGAAGGAAGGAGAGGTGCCTGCCGACTAGAAGAAAGGCTGGCTACCTTGTCAAGCTACCAGAGAAGGGCGACTTACGTCTATGCGATAAATGATGTGGAGTAATGCTCCTGTTCACACCAAGTAAAATACTGAATGGCGTCATCGCGGGAAGAATGGAGGATGCACTCAATGCAGAACACCACCCACCGGATTAGGCTGGATTCAAGAAAGGCAAATCATATGTTGATCAAATTGCAATTCTGCACATCACCATCGAATGAAGCATAGAATGCCAGTCAAACTCCCTACCTCAATTTCGTCAACTTTGAAAAGGACTTAGACAGACAGCGTAGACAGAGGAGTAATTTGGAAACTACTTTAACGCAATGAAGTGCAGTGCCCAAGACTCTATCAACCTCATTCAACAACTGATCATACAACACATCGGAAAATTCAGTGAAGCCACTGAAACGAAGACAGGAGTAAGACAAGGCTGGCTGCCTATTATCACGCAAGATAATATTCCTAATTTTGGTGGACTGTATTATGCTTCGGACTGTGTGTGGAAAGTGAGAAGAGAGGAATGCGCTGCACCACCGATAAAAGTACCGTAGAAGGTCTGGATTTCTCGGAAGATTTATATCTGATGTCACACTCAATCGAAGACTTACTGGCAATATCCAGCAAATCATCTGAAGAAGCAGTCAGAAAAGACAGGACTCCAGGTGAACATAGGAAAGACGGAACTGATGAAGATAACCATGCACCATCAACAACAACAACAACAACCAGCATCAGTCACCATCAACAGAAGAGGTTTAACAGAGGTTACTTCCTGCCTCCACTTATCTACGAAGCGTCGTTTCAATCATACGCACATGGCACGGATGAAGATGTCAAACCAGCCAGAGTCCGAAAGGTAAGACAGAGTTTCATCACTCTGAAACCAATTTGGAAATCTTATGCACTGCACTCCACAGAATTAAGAACAAGATTCGGATTTTCAACACAAGTGTGAAGTCAGCGACTTCTTCTAAATGGGTCAGAAAATTGGCCAATGTATCATTTAAAGCATTTCCAACAGACTACAACAGACTTTTATCAGCACCCGCCATCACCGGCTACATATTTCGGATCGAATGGCCAGAAAGTATTCCCAACAAATGAGCTGTGGGAACAAACTAACCAGGAACCTATCGTTCGATAAATATGTGTGAGAAAATGGAGGTGGATTGATCACGCGCTGAAGAGACCGTCGGATGACATTGGGATCAGTGCAGGCCATCACTCTAGTTGGGCGCAAACGGTAAACGACGGTTGTGGCGTGTACTGGAGGGTGATCTGGAGGAGATCGTATGTTGAGAAGTAGGAGATGAGATACTATGGGCGATTGTGTGCTCATCTGAAGAGGACAGCAGAAAATAGAAGAAAGTGGGGGACTACTGTTTAAGCCCTATTTTCCACTTGGAACACAATGGAACAATAATAATAATGGTGTCAAGTTGATTATGTCTTTCTAACAGAATTTATTTTATAACTCCGAACACATTCATTCGTTCTTGTGTAACCCATAATCGTTTATGTATGTTACTACCTTTGAAACATTTCGGAATATTTCATCTTGTAGCGGTCAAATGTTATGCCTTAAGTGCCATCATATATACATATATGTATTTTAAATTTTGTGTTTTGTAGGAATTTCGACTAATTTCATCACGGACTTAATCACAATGAGATATCTGTAAGAGGACCATTCTAAATCAAGTAGCACTCAACAGCTGTTGATTTTCAGCTGTTGATCTTTGAGTTTGTGTGACATTGAATTTAAATCATCCGTGAAGTCCAGATGTTCTCATATCTTTTCGTCGGCTCAGCGTATGCCCGCCTTCTCGCTCCTCACTACCTGATGCATGACAAAGTCCAAAACAGTCAGGTAGATCGTTAGTAACAGTGGTCAGTCTTGTCTTACACCTGTCTTATCTCCAGAGGCTTCAGTGACCTTGCGTCGCTAATCACTTGTCGTGCAGCATTATCATACACTGATGAATGAGGTAGATAGAAATTTGCGGCACATCATCTCTTAGTACTGAATCAGATCCCAAATCCATTTATAGTCCACACTATCGAACGCCTTTTTAGGTCGATGAAGTTGGTATAAAAGTGCTGTCTACTATTTATGCTACGTTCGGTTATATAACTTTGGGAGAAAGTTATTTTTCGTTGAGCAATCTATCTTTTAAGAGAAAATCTCGAATAATTCAATAATCACATGAGTTATAAGTTGCTGCGTCAACCAAGTTGACAACGGTGAGGAAAGATGCCGTCAGAAAGTAACGGCTGTGAGTTATGATATTTTAAAAGTGAACAAGTACTGCAGGCTGATTTACGGCTTTTGTACTGAAGACACCGGAGTTCAAAAGAAACCAGTCCAACTTCCATATCAACCATGGATCTATTCGTGTTTATCTGCTTAGTTGCGCTTTTCGTTCGCTTCATTTTTATTAAGTGTATTTGTAAAAGTTTTTATGCGCATCCTGTCCACATATGTGTGCTTTATATACCATTTTACATATTACGCAAGTATTTTTCTAACCTTAATTTATTTGTTTTTATGCCTGATTTAATCTACATTCATTTTTCATACCATCTTCGAATCAAGTAGAAAATCATTATCTCATTTAATCTCCCATCGGTACTACACTAAATTAAATAATTATTGCAATAATGCAAAATAATGTATAAAAATGGGATTCTTCAGCTTTTGAAGATGAAATTGCAGGAAACATATCTTCACTGATCTTCTTGTTTTTTTTTACTGCCTAAAGGATAATTTAGTAGCAAGTGAAAATAAATAAACAATCAAGTTTTTGAGTGTCATTTAATTTCCTACAGTTTAGTCCTATTTGTTGGTCATTTATGTGTGTGTGCCTATTTGGACTACATTCTGCACATGAATTATTCAACTTCAACAAATGAAAAGAAGTTATGTAAATACAGTTTTGAATAGACAATATCTGTCAAATTATTGGGTTAATTTAGGATGAATTATACTACTGCTGACTTTATGATCTTCCCTCTAAGTTTGAAAGGTTTTACAGCTGTTATTGCTGCAAAAATTGCAAACTGAAGTTACATGTCAGCTGATTTCCTTGTAGCTTATAAGAAAATGTAAATAAAACTAAAGTTGATGTTGTTGTTAAGGTTGGAGAGACTGAGGTCAACTAAAACCTTAGCCTCCTATTTGCCAGCTTCTAATACATTATTGTAGCATTATGCTGGCGAACTGCGAACTACGTCTGCTTTACATTCGACGCTTTATTAATTTTTTCAATTCAAATTCTGATATATTTCCATACGAAATTCCCTGATAAATTTATTTTTTTTTATTATAGCTTGATTGCACACAGTACTTTTGGTACAAGTAAAGAATTCGCAGCATGTGATATCGGTAGCCCAAATTTTGCAGGCCGACCAGGTGTGCGTCCACCAGGGATCGAACACCCGAGTCATGTGCATGGTCGGTGAGAGTCCCAACCGCTATGCTATTGACGTTTTATGGGTGCCTTACCTCATCTGCCTTGTTTCCCAAACGAAACTCTTTTACATTTTTCAACTATGTTCAAATTAACCGACAAATACACTTCACCAGAAAAGTTTTGTTTGCGATTTATAAACCAGCAAGTCAGTATGTTCAAATGGTAGATACTCGTTTCATTCTCAATATTCATTTCTCTTTGATGAAATTAGAAGTCTGGTTACTTCTGAAGTCCAAGTACAGTGTGAATGTATTCAGTAATGTTTTAGGTGCCCCAATCATTAAGTGCAGTTCGCTGACTTTGAAACCCAATTTTCTGAGAAATTTCATAGGATTTATACAAAATCTGTCATTTGCCGAGTTCATTTTATCATCAGTTACATGTATCAAACGTCAGCTTTGTTGAAAATGTCAGTGAATTTTGTTTATTAAAACACCAGTTGAAAATTAAATCTGTCGTTATTTGAAGTTGTGAACCTCACTAAAAATCTTTGAGTGAAATATCTGACAGAGAGATTCCTTCACCGTTAATTAGCCGGACGTTGCACTGTCAGAAATCCTTGTAGTGTAACCGTATTGCTCCCTTGAAGAAATGATAATTTAAAACTGCTTCTAGACTGATGCACCAAGTGGATTCAATTTCTGTCCTGAAATGAAATGCATCTGTCGCCATTCTAACTGCTAGATGATCACTTAGGAGATCTTTCCTCTTAGAATAGTTAACAGTATGTGAAATATTATGTGAGCGAGATGGTCTACTCCAAATACTATAACTAATACGGTGTTAAGTGAAGCATATTTGCAGCTTAATCTGAAAATTCCTGTTTTAGCTACAGTATATACGTGAATTCTGAAATCTTGTTCAGCCCCTAGTTTAACTGATGAATAACCTCCATATACGCAGCTTAGACATGAGAAAGGTTATTTCTAGAGCATTTATATATGTATTACATTGTCTGATATTTAATTCAATTTAGATTTTTGCGTCGACTGACTGGATCGGTATCAGGAACACCATCACTCACTGGGGAATGCAGTTAAATTCAGTGACGAGTCCTAAACAGGACGAAATTCGCATCCTGGATTCCAGTGATAGTCATCATCGACCAACTGGTATTTTCTAATTGTTTCATTTTATTGTATGGAGGATTTCATCATGAGCTGACATCAGTTAGAGAACCACTGGAAGACGTGGGAGTACTGGACAGCTGTTTCGTCCTAGTTTGGGACTCTTCAGCAGTACACACCCACCGGGATTCGAACCCAGGACCTTCTGGTTACAAGGCGAGCTCGTAGACCATTGAGCCACTGGGACCCGATCCAATGGTCCTTGAATTCTAACTTCTGCCAATTCACGACATAGCGCGACCATTTCGCAATGTCTTCTTAGATGAGTTACTGTCACATCTTCAACCTGCTGTACCCTACTGGTCACGGCTTCCCACTAGAACCCCAGGTTAACTGCCTGAATAGGGCCAGTCACTAGTGAGCATCAGATTAATTTTCAAGTATTGGTTTGGTAGGGATTTTGTTTGATTGTATGGAGGATTTCATCATGAGCTGACATCAGTTAGAGAACCACTGGAAAACCTGGGAGTACTGGACAGCTGTTTCATTTTAGTTACCACAATATATTAGAATCCTACTGTTGAAATGACTATAGATTTCTCAATAAATTTCATGAAATTTAAGATACTTCATAAGTATTGGAAACTAATGAATGAATACAAGTAGCAAAGCATATAAAATTATATAATTCAGTATACCGGATTTCATGCCAATTACCTTACTGTCAGGAGATTTCAGAGAATTGACAATCAAACACTGAGCGGAATTGGCGAGGTCAAAGACTGTTACACCTGCAGATGACGATTTATCGACGAATGTATCGTTTGTTGTGAATCTTTGTGTAGACATAGGTGAAATTATTCCCAACCGGCGATATCCAGTGGGATTATATCTTCCACGCATATTTGCCGAGTAGAAACCACTGTATACGCGTACTCTGCTGGGACTTGACTGTCGAATTCCAAATGAATTTTTAAATGCGTCTGGATAACGTTTATGATCGCGTATTTCATTGCAAACTATTGGCTGTTTATTGAAAGCTGTTAATTCTAGTTTTCCATGCATAGAAAGACTGGCTTTTGGAATTTGAAACCATGATCTCTCCTAAAATTGAGGTTTAAAGCTTATGCTATAATCAGTTTATTATCACGTCACTTTTGTTTTCATTTATAAGATTAGTAGACAAATGCATCAATTTAGTATATAATACATATTGATAACGTTAGACTGGTGGTATTACTGGTATGATTGAGGGAAATCAAAGTACTGTCTGTCTGTTATCGACATAGAACTTTGCACATATGTGCGGCAGTTCAAGTCGCCACACGTCACTCAGCACACAAAGCAAGAGAAGAAAGTGGGAGAAATGCATGATATAAACAGTAAACAGAGGTGTGAGACAAAGGATTAGGAATAACGAAGAACAAAACAGTCTAATTGGAAATCATAGGTCACAAGGAGTGGATGCATCTGCGCCACTGAGAACGATTTTTAGCCATGTCACCAATTGTTTCCAACCATTGGTTTATACCGTCCCGAGGACCCCAACCTACGTGGCTTAGACTGACTGTTGTGGATTTCATTGACTGGTGCCATGTTTTGGTTTGACCACCGCTAGCACTTTTCCAGCCTGACCTTATATCAGCTAACATTGCCCGTCGAGGAAGGCGATGACTAGGCATACGTAACACATGTCCTAACCATCTCAGTCGATGTAATTTCACAGTCTCATCGACTGATAAATCAAAGTACATTAATCATATACGTATTTATTCAGTCTATGGGCAAGTCAAAGGGAAATCTACATTGAAAAATTTTAGACTGATAGAATTTACACTTTACGTCGAGACAGCTGACATCACAGTTACATGTGGTACTGATTTTATCACAAGAAAATGAACAGTAGTTTTGTAATATCACTTTTAAGCAAATCAACAGTATTTAAAATATGAATCAAATTGTTTTTTGATTGGCCCTAATGTATGCAAAGAAGAGTTAACATTAGCACGTATATGCGATAAATTTGATTCTTATTAAGTTTTTATAGTACACTTATTATGCTAGATGGTTGGAGGTTATTGGTAGGATGCTGTGGATCTAAGTTTCGCAGCAACACTGAATGATGTGGCTGTGAATCGATGAGTTAGCATCAGTTCGTCGGGGCTCGCAGGTACGCCGTGCAAACGAGTATCAGTAAGCCCGAAACCTGGGTTCAAGGCATCATACAGACTGCCTACAACCAGCTAACATTAATTCGCAATGCACAAGTGTGGTGAGTCATCTAGTTTGGTGACGACATTGCAAACTGGACAGATAGAATTTAGTCGGCGCTGGCACCAGGGACTAGACACATGTTAAAATAATCCTGTATGCAGTAACAATTGAAACTGAGTAGAATAACAAATTTTTAAAGTCATTTTTGAGTTTAAATTTAGCCAGTGAAAGTGCTGGATTTTCATGAATATTACTATTAATGTGAATTAGATGAACACTGTTCTAATCGTCCTCAATTCATTTGGTTAAATCAGTCATGGATTTCTCTATCTGTAGAATTTAGTACACTGTAGCTATGCATTATTAATCATAGTTTTATGAACCAAGAGATTATTTCTTAAAGAACTTAATAATGATAAAAAAATTTGATTCCTACCAAGAATTTACAAGTTACATTTTATTTTCTACGCTATTAACTTGAAACACCCCTAACTTTTTATGCATAAATGAATCGGCCTTGAACAAATCAGGATGCGTTAAAGAAAATTCTCGGAACACGAAAGAGAAAACAAATTTGTAATTGCTTCATAGAAAACAAATTTAACCCTACATAAGTATTTTTGCGTATTTTTCCCTTTTATTCCTTTACATTCCCAGTGGAGCATGTGGCTTCACGCTAGAAGTTTCAAGCTTCGGTAGCAGTGGTGTTCATTTTTACGGGATGGGGTTGCTATCCTCATGCCCAACCTTCCAACTTTACCAGTCTTACTACTGGCTTAGCGAGGTTTGGGAGTGAGTCGGCTGGACACCGAACCCTGAACCACATGAGTGGTTGGCGATCATTCTACTACTGTGCCACCGGCACGTATTCTGACTTGGGTTTACACGATTTTGATTGGGCAGCATCTAAATACCTATTTTAATTGCATGATGAGATACAAACGGTTATTATCTGTACGACTGACAGTCTATCTCGTGTCAACTTGACTGAATTAGACAGGTGACTAGATTCTATGTACACAGGTTTCTCTAGAGTTGACTATATTTGGAAGCACACAAGTAATTCTAAAACCTATCATGGACATTGACACATTTGATTGGGAAAGGAGTCGTAATTTTGATATTTTTTTTGACTGACTCCTTTAATATGACATATGTTTTAATAAAAATAGTAAAAGGGATTGACAAAAAGAGTCTTCTATGTGTAAGACAAAAGTCAGTGATTGAACTCACAGATTTGACTGATTTCTGGAACATCATCCTTTGATCAGAAAATTTCTCATAAGTAGTCGATTTTGATCTACGTACATTTCGGATAGTAGAAGTGTTTTGCTTCGAATATTCTGAATCGCATGGATTACTATTGGATCGTTCGTCATGTGAATTCGGCAGAGGAACATTTAACGTTATCGGACTCGTAGATAATTCTCTAGGCGTGGTGTTCGTCTCAGGACTATTCATAAATTGACTAAATAAATACTTGAATGCTCACTTCGCTCCGAAACATTCAGTGCGTTAAATTATAATTCATTTGAATCTTTTTTTAAGTTCACTATTGATTTAATAATAAGGAGTTTTGATTAGTTAAGAGTGTATTTTATTGATTTATTATGACAGGTGCACAACCTATCAGCACAAAAATTTAAGTATTAGAGACTAAATATTTATCTGACTGACTTTAAATAGAAAATATTTCAAATGCCGTACACTTTTTTGGAAAGCCATCATTTCATTTGACTTTGAAACCAATAAACAGTTTTACCAGAAGCTTACTATTACATTCTTCGAAGGAAGACATTACGTTGATTGGTTTCCAGAAAAATTTCACCAGCCAGTGTTATCCATCCTCCTCGGTCCTAGCGTTGAATAACTTGTTTTTTCTATGCTCATGGGTCTCAGTAGTGAAGGGGTTATTTTCAACGAGGTGGTGTCACTAGCCTTACACCCACCCTCTCCCGAGTTCCGGTCTTAGGGCCTGCTATTAAAGTGGGCCACGAGTCTAACCTACAAGTGTGAAGTAGATGAGATCATGTGAAAAGAAAATGTAAGCTTGTGAGCAGCCGTATATTCAGATAAAATGATAGCAGAGAACAGACTACAGTGGTAGTGTTCTGTTGAAGCTCTGTATTCCGAGTGGAACTCAGAGAAGGAATAATTATTTGAACCTGTAGATAAAAAATTGATATTGGTGTAGTGAATGTTGTGAAAACCTGTTTTTATGAAAATTCTTCATTGTTGTGCATTCAATACACCATGATCCTTATCTTTTTAACTGATCATATGGTGAACTGAATTATAATAGGTCCTTATTCTTGCTGAACTTTGAGTGCATTTATCACATAATTTCGTTCCAAATTCACTGATATTTTCTTCACTCTCAGCATCCTAGCTTTTCTTTTTCAACTTATCACTATTGGATTATTGGGGATTTACTGTTTAAATACACAGGATGGAACTGGTCTCTGTGGTGATTTCTGACTTCAGGTAAACCGTTTGTAGAAAATGGTAAACTACAATTGCTGAATTTAAAGATACCGTAGGTGAGCAGGATAGCCTTAAAATCGAATCAATATGTGATTGACCGACGCATTTATAGTAGAACTAACAAACCTTTCTATTATATGAGGCATATATTTTTATTTTTGATATTCCTGTTAGGAAAGGATAACTATCATTAACCCTACGCTGATTTCGATAAGATACGTGATTGACGTGAAAGCAACGTAAATGCCGTGAAGTTTAATGAATTTAAAGCAATCAACAAAATTATTGAGGCCAGAATATAATGACTCATGTCATATGGCGAAGACATGAATTTACAGTGTGCTGGGATATCACTGTATCACCGTAATAGCTATTTGTTAAGGAACATTAGTTTATTCATTTAGTTAGTTTTAATTTGATTTAAATTTTGAATTTTGCACATGCACATATATTTCATTTTTCGGAAAATAACTCTGACTACTTGCATTTCTAAAGTAGTGTCAAAAGAGTTTAGAAATTTCACAGGGAATCAATATCAGTCAAATTAAAACATTATCAGTCTTAATAAAGGAAAGAGTATTAATTTCAGGATCTCTCAACAATGTACATAATGAAAAGCGTAAGCCTAAAGTATTTTAATAAAGTTAACTACTAACGCCTTTAGTTGACAACTTCAAAGTAACGAAAGTGTAGAATTAGTGTGAAAACAGGAAAGGTGTTGTCATGATGATAACATGGTAAAGCTGTCCTTTTATTTTTGTTGACCACTTAATAGTCAGGCACTATACTGCAGTTACATGACCCATTAGTTAGGCGATTACACTGGAATATGTGACTTAGAACAACAATCCAGCTGGAATGTCGCATGGAAATAGTGAGTTATTCGTAACACCAAGGCAGTTGTGTTTGTCAGACATACTTCACTATCAGTAATTGTGTCACGATGGTGACAGTACTTCTAGACTCACAAAGTCGAGGTGGTTAAGACGTCAAAAAGGTAACTGCTGCAGCTGATAGGAAATGTCAAAGTTGTACAAATAGCACGATTTTCGTGGCATGTCATCTTCCACTACATAGTTCCATATTAGATAAGTTTACGTTAAATATCACAGTGATTCAGCATTAACAATTGGATGACGTTTCAAGCATAGATTATTGCTCATAATCATATTAGTTTTAGTCACACGATTTCACAATTTGTCTTGTACATATTTTCTTTCTGTCTCCCCAAATTCCCTTTGCTATTTGTCGCCACTTTCCATTTTTCCGGTGTAGATGTTGCATCATTCCGATTGCATGTGTGCGGTGTTGAATCGATAAACAAAGATTAAATGATTAACCTGTCTCTTTTCACCTGACTGTATTACTTTTTAATATTTTCACTTTGTCCTACCCACCCTATTTTGTGATTGAATGCAAGTGAATGCAGTCCAATGGTGGAGTTTTCTTCAAGGTTACCTAACTTAGCAGAGTCAATTATTCTAGATCTAGCCAAATCTTTATGTCATATGAAAAAGAGAAGACGTTCAGCGAAGAGACTCTTTTCGGTGAATTCATTCACATAGCTGTACAGTCGCATTTATATATAATTATTTGTGTGTGTGTGTGTACATGAGGTTTGTCAAGTTTACATAATTGATTAGTTAATACGAGAATGATGTAATATAAAAACAAAGCTAGTCAGACAGCAACTAAAGTAAGAATGAGTTAGTAAGCCAGATGACGTAATATAACTGACTAAAATGTTTCAACTTAGATCACGGTAGCAGCAAAGGTAATTACAGGTAGAGACTAAGTAGAAGTGAAATTGAGCAAATAAGTTGGATGACGTAACATAAATGACTAGAAATTGAGCGTTGTTCAAGTCAGTAACAGTGGTAGTGAGGTGTAGAAATTGAATCTGGGGGGGGGGGGGTAGAGAACAAGAAAGTTGAAAATGTAAAATATTACAATTGAGAAGACAAAATAATACGAATGAAGAGACAGAAGAAAAGATTAGGTAGAATTTACTTGTCGGTTAATAAGATAGATTACGTCCATTGGAAGTGTAGTGATTGAACGAACTTCTTCTGTATGTAGAGTTCAGGATTTAGCAAGTGAATCGTCATTGCTTCTGCAGTTTGAAGAAGTCTGATTCGTACACCTTTAGGAAGACTACTTCTTACTCTGTAGACGAATTTGAAGTTTGTTTGAGGTGCAGCTTGGTGTCCGGATTCAATCAGATGTTCTGAGATGGAACTGCGGGGGAATTTATGTTCCTATAATCTAGTTGTTAATACAGAATCACTGTATGATATTTAAAATAAACTTATATGATATTACATTCTATCACAGTGCCCAGGTTCTGCGCCACGTAGTGTTAGTCTTTCATTTGGCACATTTAGTGTGAACCTTCTTTATATTTAAGTTACAATCTATGTCCTCATGCAAAACTTTGTTTTTTTGTGTAGAAGGGAGTAGAAAGCTGATGTGTTATGCAGGATGTAACCACCAGGGATGACATACGTATTTGACGATGTTCATGGAAGAACCAGTTGAATTCCTATGAATACAGTAAATAGATTTCCAGCCTCTCTTACTGTAAATAAATGAAGTCCACAAGGTCAGATTTGAAAGCAATCACCTACCGGTGATAATCAGTAATAATTGTTCAGACAAAGCAACAAGAAGACATAATTTGTATGAAACATGTAGTGTATGCGCGCAACACATTTCGAACAATCTGATCAGAGGACATGAAATTCACGTTAACACATCTATTAAAGCTATTTATAGAACGTGTTTGGGGCGTATCCTAAAGTTTGTGGAAGCCCCAATAATTAGAAGAGGAGATGAAAACGTGTGGGCAGACATGGAGCCAGGTGAAGACTCTAGCAGAGAACCGAACGCAATGGAGACGCACAGCTGAAGCCCTATGTTCCTCTAGGAATTAAAGGATACAATAATAATAATATACCCTTATGCGTTAAAAAACAATTCTTCAGCACACTAAACTTCCCTTGGTAAACTCTGTTTTGGTACCGTAGCAGATGTACCTCTGTTATTTGGTTTGGTGGCCTTCGTTGTTATTTTGACCTTCAACATGTCCTTTTAACTTGACCCAAGTCTATTTTCTCACCTCTAAACTCTTTATTAATTTCATATATATTCCTATGACAAGTCCGTCGTGTGTGATCAAATTGTTCGAAATGTGTTGAGCAAATACATTACATGATTCAGACAAATCACGTCTTCTTATTGCTTTGTCTAAATTCATAAAGGGAACCAATTGTTCTAAATAACTGTTTGAAATTACGGATTTATAGAGAATAAAGATTATAACTCATAGAATGATAAGTGGTAACGTAATAATCCCTTAATGTAACAGTACTAAATTTAATCCTTCGTTGTTATATTGTACTGATTTTTTTCAGAAGTCAAATAGTCCGAAACAGTTGTCCATCATAATTTTGTTTACATTGTTTTGGGATGTACTACATATGCATACAGAAGTCTATTCTGAATTATTTATTCTACGTTGAAGTAAAATCCTCAAAAGTTTGATTGAAGGCATTTATTTTTAGCCTTACTACTCAAAAGTTTCATTCATACTGTCTGGAAGCAATCAAGGGCATGAAAATGATAACAAATTATTTCTTTTTAAATCACAAAGTTCCACTTTCACCATCTTAAGATATATTTCATCGAAATCTTACAATTTTCATTATTTATAGATCAACATTAACAGTAAAAGAGAACAGAAAGACAAACCAAGAATTTGTTGGCTTTTTACAAAGGAAAATGGGGAAGGGAAAACAACATTTCTATGACTATATTCTAGTTTCCAGTGAATATACGTAAGTTTAAAAAGAAAGATATTTTATTCTTTCATTTCATGTAGATAGGAAACATTTGTGTAATTTATCTGTATAAGGAAAAAGGACAATAGGAGCACGAATTAATTCTGAGTATCTAATGATATATTCTTTGTGTATATGATTTCATTCTGTCGATTTCGCATTCTCTATAAGTTATCCACAAAATGAAATAAATCTAGTTTTACTCAGCATTTAACGGAAAGAATGGCTAATTTTGAGTGGAAAATACTAGCATCTGTTAGGTGGAATTTCACACTCCATATGCTGTAGTGAATAACTAGTAAACAACTAAGAGGTCTGTAGTTACTGTACGTCTTAGGAAAAATGAACGTTATGATTAAATCTGTTATTTCCTGAGACAACTATTTGTTCTACGGTTCTATGATTCACTTCTTGAGTTCTCAGTAGAACATACAACTCCATTGGCACTACTCCATTCTGTTCGGCTGTCTGCCAGCACCCTCAGATAGTTGATAAGTGAATACAAGCTT